CGTATAAAACCTCGGCAATCTAAATCTCCATCTTCTCCCCGATTAGAAAAGCTCGCCTTCGATGATAATATTGAGACTTTCGTCCGCTTGGGTTTAGGGTCGGCTGTGTTGTTAGCGCTGTGTTTCCAGAGCCCGTGTGATCTTTGTTGCTGTTGTTTGCTGGAGATCTAAGAATATGTTGAAGCAGAAAAAAAATTTGCGTGTGATCTTTCTTCCTTAATTAAAGGAAGTTACTAAAATTTGAATTCTAAGTGTAATTGAAAATATTTGTAGCTTCTTTAGGTAATTTTAAAAATAAATATATAAAGGGTAGAAAAGTGTAATATAATTTAAATGTGTTAGTATGGGGTGCAATTTCCTCAAAAGAAAACAAATAGAATTCAAGGGCCTTTTTAACTGAAATTAAATCTTTCAAAATAAGCATGAATTGGGCATAAACTGTGGTTCAACAATAAGGCAAAAAGAATCAGAAAAATTAATTTCCTAAAGGCCATAACTTGGTCTCTTTCCTCTGCAAATTTGACTCTTATTTGCAACAATATAATGATAAGGTAGCAGACTCATAAACTTAATAACACAAGGCATCTAATTTAATTTCTACAACATTAAACTTCTTAACTCCTGATTATAAAGCATCTTGAATTCAAAATAAAAGATAGCTCAGCAAATTACCTCTATTCAGGAACTAAATTAGGAAAATGGCTGAAATGGCTTGCTGGAAAATGGCACGAGCTCGCCGGAGCTGCGGGAATGGTGGTCGGAATTTGCAAGAAAGTGGATATGGAGTGGTGGATCTTAGGAATTTAATGCTAGATCTTAACTTGAGCTAAGACATGGTGTGAATTTTTGCACTAGATCTTGGAAAATGAAAGTGTTCTTTGTTTATATTCTTGAAATGAAGGTGGTGAAGTAGATATGATGATGAATAGTAGATAGTGACTAGGGTTTTGTGTTGGATGTTGGGAGACATGGGGACAACTATTTATAGATAGTGTAGGAGACTAGGGTTTTGCTCTTGTTATTGGGCCTTAAAAAAATTGGGCTAGGATATTGGGCTCGAGTATATATTGGTTTAGGCGTAGGATAATTAGTCGACTCGACTTAGAAATTTGAAATGCTCGGTCAAATAAAATATGACGGGCTTGAAATAATAATCTCGACTTAGACCGAAAATTAATATTGGGCTCGGAATTAAATAATTGGGCTTGAAATAAAAATAGTACGAGGGCTCGATTATTTAAAAACAATCGCTTGGGCTTGGAAATTAATTCGACTACTCGAATTAAAATGGGTCGACTAATTAAAATAAATTCCCGACTACTCGATAAAAATAATATATCGAATCTTAGACTTAGGTTTTTTTTTTATCTCGATTTCAAATTAATAAATCGATCGTTCTCTTTAAGGCTTAGACTTGAAATTAAATAAATTATGCGATCAATACTAATAATTTTGGGCATAGTTAAAATATTACTAATTCTGATAAATAAAGTCGAGCTAAATATATTATTTCTGGGTCGGGGCTTACAGCCCCGATAGTAGTTGAAATTGCTGCCAGGTTTTTATCGGGGGGGCAATAACAGTGGAAATGTGCTCCTCATTGCCTTCTTCTTCTTCATCATCTTCATCGTTCGGCTAAAAAATATGCTTTTCCAGTACCTCGGACTCCATCTCTCTGCTCAGCCCAAGATCTCTAACATCACTTTGGCTCGGTTCGGCTTGAGATAATAGCCGACTCTTGGCTCGGGCATCCAATTTGCTCAATAAATCACCAATCGCTTTGCTACTAGCCATCAAAGAATTTTGATACTTTTCAAATAACTCCACCAATGATGGACTAGCCTCTTGTTCAAGCGAAAGTTCTGAAAAATATTGTGAGCCTCCATAGTGGAATTGAGAGTCATCGTGCTCATAAGTAAGCTCATACGATCGAGAATATTGTGGATTTTCATAAAATGAATTTCCACGATCTTCCCAACCATAATGGTCCCTATCGAAATTTCAATACGCCCCATCATCTTTTCGATACCAATCTCTCTCGGTAGCTCTACGTGCAGCATACCTCTCGAACAAAAAGGGACAATCATCGGTGACGTGACGTGTAGTATGACATAGACGACATGGTCTCCTTAGAGCTTGACGAACACTATCAACGGCTTCTTGGATCATAGCCGACATCCTAGCCTCACCATGTTGGTCTCTTATTTTCCTCCTTTTCATTTCGTAATATGACTCGTAAGCATAAGCACAATCTGGGCTCCAATACGCGTCCATTTATAACAAATACCACCTGCAAAAGGAAAATAAAAATAGGGGGATTAAGAGAGTCAAACAAAAATAAAATAAAATAAATATTAATCTAATACTAAGTCAATTAACACTAAAAAAAATCACAACTCAATTGCGCCACTCCCCGGCAACGGCGCTAAAATTTGACCGCGCGTCGTTACACGATAAATTTAAATTTATAAAGTTTCCTCAACTAACCTCCACTAACTAGTAGTAGTGGCAAGTAAGGGTCGATCCCACAAGGAGCAAGAATTAAATTGTGAAAATTTTTCGTATTAATCGAATTAAAACTAGGAAAGAAATAATATGGGGGGATTGCATTGATAAAAATAAAAATAATAAAATAAAAATACAATTATATAAGATGAGTGATATGGCCCTATTATCATAGCCCGATTCAAATGCTAATTACCCGACTGAACAAACACTTCTGACGACATCATTAAGTCGACATCCCCGAAGTCGACTTGGCCCATCGGCCATTTGA